CGTAGATGATGATAAATAACATAGTTATGTATAATATATTACATTTCTGACTGTATATCCCTGTAATTATTACACACTGTAGCTTTAAATCAAATTATTTTTCATAGCAGAGATTCCGGAGCTTTAATCTCGGGAAAGACTGTAGGCGGGCCATTTTTTAATAAATAAATCATTAGGCAGCTCTAGTAGGCATCAACCACTGATTCATAACCATAATGCTCCATCACATTCCCTGTATTGTTTAAAACACCCTAACTGTAGATTGACAGAATAACCAGTTTTCAGGTTATTTCAGCTGTAGAGGAAGATGAAGTTAAACAGCATTGACCATCCAGTACATGATGCAATAAATTGGCCCCAATCTCACTGATAGAAGACAAAAACACCTTCCTTCCAGCGTTAAAAAGGTTGTCATAATTTGAAACAGCATTCAGCAGCAGCCCTGTTGACCTATGGCAGGTCCTGCAGGTTTCTCTTCTTCAGCACAGATGATTCTGATCATCGCAGTTCAGCAAAAGCCTAATAATCAGCTATCAATGGCAATCAGCTGTGCTCAAGCAGGGAAACCTCTAAAACCTGCAGCACAGCGGCCCTCGAGGAAATACCTGACCTATGGTAAACGCGCATATTTTCTTTTGAGTGATTCATCTGAATCAGCAAAATAAAGAGTCCTCACTAGCTGCTGCTGGAACCGTCAGTTACAGCCCAGCCTCCCGTTTGAGTCATTTTATTACGAGTCACATTATCCACCAACAGCTGCTGGTTTTTAACTGCGTCACCTCACACATGCAGTAGAAGGGGAGCTGTTGCAGAAACACAGCTTGATGGGATAATTCAGACTGATGCAGCAAAGCAAACCAGTCTAACATCTGAACAGATACCATTAGCTAATGAGGCGCTGAGATCTGGTAGTTTTCAGTAAAGACAAAGCCTCTCTTTAAAATGCTTTGTCAGGGTTGCAGTCTTTTCTAACTCTGCAGCACAGTCCGTTTCAGAGCTGGTCAGCATTCTTTGGCATTTTTAGTTGCCAAGTATCTCAATAGGCTACAGTATAGCCTTAGCATTAAGGGAAGCTTTATAAAAGCTATTTTTTTCTTATGCATTCACCTTTTACTAGCGTATTTAACTCCAGCGAGAGGAGGGGCTAAGAATCTTTGACCCCATTGCAATTTGCGTGACTAACAAACAAACCCCTATTTTTTTATCTTGATTTTATAAACTGTGTTTTTAAAGCTTTGGTTTAGAAGCCTAATTGGAGGAAAACATCAGGGTCTAGAATCAAGTCCAGGATCCAGAAGTGCCCTTGGGCAGCACAACTAATTGATCAAAATGACCGATGAGCCAGTAGACCATCAGATTAATAGCCTAGCAACGCACCTGATCCTTGGTCTTCCCTTCTCTTTCTCTTACATGGGTGGTAACAATCCTCTCAGTCTCCTCTCTTAGTCTTGGGTAGGAGTTGAGCTGCAAGGCAACAAAACATGTAACTGCGGCATTTAACACCAACAAACACCCACACAAACGCACAAACACACACACACTTACACATAAGCTTGACCTTATAGTAGGACTTACCAACAAGAATCAGAGAAAAACAGGAGTGAGAAGTGAGAATAAGTAGGAAAAAAAGAAAAAAGTAAAAACATTGTCAAGTGACATTTCAGTGTCACACAAATGCAGGTAACCACGATCCAACACGCAAGCACACCAAGGATTTTAAATACATGGTGGTTGTTAGAGTGTTAGAGGCCAATGTACCAACAGTCAAAGATGACCTTTAATGTTATCCTAACAACTTTATCCTAAATCGTAACATCCAGTTTAAACATGCCAATTATAGTTTGAACTGTCATCGTTAACTGAAGGTACAGATTTAAATCAACGGATGTTAGTGGAGACTGGATGACAGGAGAGTCAGGGGTGAGGCAGAGAAAACCCAAAAGGCAGGGAACTGTTTGTTCTGCTCACTTTGCATCACAGAGCATTTCCTTCTGAGCAGTGCTCTTGTTTGTCCACAAGATGGCAGTGGCGCACTGTTACAAACGAAATGAATTGCCATGTTCAGGTATAGTTCCTTTTAACCCCACTTATCAGTTCAATTTTTTTCCACTTCAGCTGATAGAATGTCAAACTGCCGTGTGGGTCAACAAGCGTGCATCACTGAACTGAGTAGGTTGGTTCTCAAATGGGCAAGGGCAAAAAAAGGGAAGCAGAGCAGGAGCTGGGGAAAGCTACGCCCGAAAGCTGATGCAAAGGTACGGATGTACGTGATGAGCTGGTCATTAAAAATTTTTAAGCAGAGCTCAAAATTTTGCGCAGAGTTTTCCAAGAAAAATGTTCACATTCAACATAATGAAAAACACCGACAGGATGGTAAAAAAAAAAAAAAAAGGACGATATATAGAGACTTTAAAAGCAATGAGCAGCAGTGGATGAAAACTGGGCTCTGATGACAGCAAGATAACAACTTGAAAAAAAAGCTCTTCTCCCATGTTGGCATTAAAATGGCATATGTTTCCCTGGTTACCTTGTTGGCACACTTCATGACGAGAGCAGTGAGTTCAGTCACCACAAGATCCACACATTTGAGGCTGGGCTCTTTGAGTTTGCGGATCTGCTTTTTGACAATCGTCTCGAAAGCCAGGTCAGGGGTGAAGAGCCCCGTTCTGAAAGGTCATAGGGTTAGTTTTGCATTTTGTTGTAAGAGTAGAGAGAAAGTTTCAGGTGGAAATAGAGGAAAAGGGAGGAAATTTGGAAAAGACAGAGAGGAATAAGACAGGAAGTGTTTGCACATTAGTCTGTTTCTAATTGTTTAGCAAGAACTCAAACAGTGGAGGACAAGCCGCAGGTTGTTCACATCATCTTTCCTAATGATCCGCTTCCATCCAAAATTGGTCTGCGTGATAAAAATAGACTTATTGTTATACTGATTATATTGAGCTATGAGACCTGCAGCTTGTCCAGGTGAGATCGGGAGATTCTCAGTCCTGGGAATGTCTCTTATCCACAACAACACGTCACCCGTCACAACACTCCACAACACGACAACGCCGCCTGAACTCAGAGCTTTCAGGGCCGGGCTGGCAGAGGGCGAACTGCTTGAGACTTTCCGCAATCAAAGCCCTAAAATCTGACTAACTTTCCTCTGTGCTACAGCTAGCGTTCTGTGTCAGCAGCACGCCCTCTACTACAACCCTAATCCCCCTGCTCTGAGTCTTGGCCCGGTCGGGAGATGCTGGACACTTGCAGTACCTTGTTGGTGCACTGCCTGACTGTGTTGATGAGTTCTTGAATGACCATATCGATACATTTGAGACAGGGCGTTTTCAGCTTAACAATCTGCTTTTTCACGATGGCCTCAAACGCCAGGTCTGGAGTGAACAGCCCCGTTCTGAGGATGCACAGAGAGACAGAGGCACAGAGGCCGACACATGGAACAGTTAACAGACATGTAGGCTGGAGCATCCAATAAAAATATACAATGAGGAAATTAAAGAAAGAAAAAAAAAGCGAAGGTTTCAAACAATGAAAAACCTGGATGTGCAAATATGAAATACAAAAGAATGGCAGATGACGCTACACAAGACGGCACAGTTCCTTAAGAAACATAGAATACAAACATGATAAATATCCAGATTACATCAAAACAAGATGAACTGAACACTATCAGACACCAACAAAAAAGAAGTGGATGAAATTTCGAAGACAGTCATCTAGAAACATTAGAACTGAAAACAAACCACATTCACAGATAACAGTTTCTAAATACATCACTTTCAGTCGGTACAACTAGTTTGAAATGCTTAGCCTTTAATCACAGCTTGGACAGAGGAAGAACCACAGTATTCAGTGTTAATAAGTTTCACATGTGCATCGTCTCAGGAATTTTCTATGCTGAACTCTACTTGCCTGACACCATGGACATTTTTGATCGCGTGACTGATTTCCCTCCTCAGTTCTTTCTCATCAAACACAATCTGGAAAACAAGAAAGATAAAAGAAAACCTTCAAAATCCAGTATAGTTGATACCTTTCTCAAAACTGGAAGTTAAGAAATCGGTGTAAAAATGGTCAACCTTGACTAGCTCGAAGGGGAAGCGTTCGTGGAAGAGACGGTTGATCCTGGCACCACCTGACAGCTCATTGGTGTCCACCTGGTCCCCAGATCCCTCAATGCACTTTTCAAAGTCCACACCAAACTGTTGAACCATCCTTTATGTTTTAAACAAAAGACGAGGCGTGAAAATCATCTCTTTCAAGCATTAATATCTAATATAGGTAAAACATGATCTTCAGTAACTTGTGATTTAAGATTATGGCACTGTGCAATTAATCCCCTTTTTTCGGTTTATTCTTAAACTCAAAGATGTGTAAACATGCAGCCACTCTGTGCAAACTGATTACTAAACACATGTACTGTGAAGCTACAATCTAAGTTAACTTGATAAAGACCCAATTCAAATAAGAAGGTTAAATGTACTTATGCTTTATTGTGCATAAGTTGCAGGCAGTAAAGTGTAAATCTACTCTTTAAATAGACATTTAAAACTGCACTCACTGCAACAACGCCTTCGTCTTACGAGTCGGATCGTCGGGACGGAAATTCTTGTACTCTTCCACCTCCTTCTCCAATGAGAGGAGTTGACTCTGCAGCTTATTGCGCAGGCCCGGCAGAGTGTCCCTGATGTGATTGGTCAGTTGCTACGGACAAAGTCGTGGTATTTTAGATCTCAATAACGTGGACAATCTCGATGCCTAAATATAAGAATGCCAACCTGGTTGAGGGTCTTTTGTAGATGCGGGGTGCCCATACGGTCTGCCATGTGTCGGTAAGCAGGGTGGGACAAGAAGAACTTTCTCTCTGCGGCCAAAGCGGCACGGATATCTTTTTTCCCATCAATGTCTTTTTGACTCCGGTTCACCACACCAATGTAGCCTAGACAAAAATAGAGCAGTCAAGATGTAAATGTCATGGAAATCCGACTGTGTGTGTGTGTACCATACAATACTAACCTCTCCTTAATGGAAGCAGTTTATTTTCCAGAATATCCTTTGCGTCTGTGCCTTCATCCATGAGGTCCAGTTTTGTTATAACTCCAATGGTGCGAAGACCTGCACATATGTATGAAGGGGGCATGTTTTAGACGAATTTTATCAAATTTTTCTGTTGATACAAAAATCTATTTAAAGAAACGGGAGAAGACAGATCCATGCTGGCTGCTGCAATGGTTTCAATGGGAATTACGAGGTATCAGGCAAGTGAATGTAAGGCTGTAGTGGCAATCTGAGGTTTCACTGTTGAGCTGTATGCTTTACCTTGTGGGTCCACCTCTTTGGCAATCTTCAAAGCATCTGAGTTAGCCAGGTCCATGTTTGCAGGGGTGACTGCCAGGATCAGACAGCTCTCCTTGGTGATGAACTGCATCAGCATGTCTCTGATTTGATGCTCAATGTCTGGGGGCTGATCTCCTACAGCAACCTTAGTCATACCCGGGAGGTCAATCAGCGTCAGGTTCAAAACTGTCACACAAGAAGAAAAATATATATGAATTGGAAAGAATAATGAAAATGTTCCTCTTTTATCCTGACAAAGTAAGCTTTCATGTTTCTGGATCAAGATATTAATTGGAACAACTTTGATTACCGTGTGGAGAGTAGACTCTCAGGTTAATGGGGATAGGAGAAATGCCTTTATTGGATCCTGTAATCCTGTCCGTTTCTGCCTCGATTTCTGCCCGAACCTCATCAAAATCCACAAACTTCTTCCCTTTGCAGTGCAGGAATTCAGCATATTCTAAACAGGAGGTTAGAAATGAGTATGTGAGATGTATGCAGAAAAAGAAGGAGAAAGGAGTGGTGAAGAGAGGCAGAAAATTACATTTGAGACATGAAAGCAGCAAATAGTGTGACTGGCTTGAGGCACAGCAAAAGAGAGGCCATATGCAGGGCAGTGATGAAAGAAAATTGGGATTTTGTGTTGCTCCAGAAAGGCGTGCTCACCTGCTTTATTATTTACCAGCTGCAAAATGAGAGGTCTGCGGGTAACAATGCCTGATCCGCGAGGAAGAAAGTCCCTGAGCAAAAAAGGGGAAGGAATGAAAAACAGATAAAACATTATTAATGGTTTGAAACAAAAGCTACCAGAGCAGATACAATAAAAGCATGCTGGATTAAATGTAGCTTACAAAATATATATATACGGTATATAAAGTGAATAAAGGTCAGAGTGACAGGGAAGAACATTTCATTTTTCATTATAGTCCTTTCAATAACAAAACCGTCAACAGTAAACCAAAAATGAAATTATCATTCCTTTTCTCTATCTGGTCAAAAAATGTCAAACACGACTCATTCTATCATGAAATATTTAGAGGTCAGCTCATGTGCAAGAACACCAGCTAAGATGATAACATTGTTGTTGTTTTTTTATATACAAGTAAATAAAAACTACTACAGCTCTCTCCTAATAATCTAATTTTAATTTCAACAAACTTTAGTAATAATAAGTAAACAATAAGGCATCTTTCAGACAATGGATTGAAGATTAATTAAGGATGAGAAACATTTTAACCAAAGTGCAAAAATAAACTCTTGACCTATTTGCTTCTGGGCTGAACATTTAATGATCAGTCACATCCAGGGTGCTAATCTCCTCTCATCCATCTATTCCTCCTTTATTTTTAGAGTATTTGCTAACATGGGGGCAGTAGCTGCCAAATAACATGCTTTCACAGAGCAGACCAAAGGTCCTCCAAACATTTCAGTTCAAAAAGACCATCTCCGCAGCAGTTAGGAAGTTTGTCAGGCAGCATGACTATCAGGTTACAGCATATTTTTGACATCGGACTGTGTTATGTGCAATCCAACAAGTTTTTTTTTTTTTTATTCAATTTTGCAATACTTTAGTAATCCACCAGGGAAACTACCCATTTTATGAATGAAATGTAATTCATTAATTCATTTAATTATGCAAACGCAACACAGTTCTAAATTCTTAATCACAGTGAAAACATCCAAGGTTGCAACTAAGGCCTTTATACAGACCCATAAACGTAAAGCTGTGCTTGTTTACATACTCTTCTATCAAAGACATAAAACAAATCTGAATTTTATTTTACAAAATTACCATTACTACCCTTTTCAGTTTTTTATTATTTGAATTACTAGTGTGAATTTATTATTTTTCCTTAATGGTAAGGGGAAGTAAACTTTCCAGCAGATCTGTATCTCCAAACTCCAGCTAACTCCATAGTTTAAAATAACACAAACATTATGTTAACCGGTTGAATTATTTGCAGCGAGGAGCAGCGTTAGACTGGCAGTATTTCCAAGGTAGATGCAGTCTCTCACCCAACGTGCTGCAGATAGGCAATGACCAACTGGATCCTAAAGTAGATATATAGACGAAGGGAGGAAGGATGGATGGAAATGAACGGCAGATCCCACACAGCTGACCACAATATGTTATGTTTTATTTTGTTTGCCTATGCTTTTAACGTGTTATGCAAAGTTCACTTCAAACACAATGCATTTGAAGGCAATAACAACAACACCATTAATGTTTGCGAGCCACCGTCATAATTGTCCCTCACTAATGTGGTCTGTTGGTGTTATGTATAATGCAAAAAAACAAATGACTGGACCGGAATTAGTCACAGTTTTCAACATGTCAAATAAACTTTTATCCAAAAATAATTAGTGCAGGACAGAAGCAAACTGACAGATGCATTAGGCAATTTTATATAAAAAAAGGAACCATGTATTACTTTTGACCCAACAATGTTTTGTTCCTGAAAGCAAATAAAGTAACAATTTTGCAGTAAAATGTTAAATGAATGGTCACTCAGGTGACTATTTTGGCTTTAACTAAGATTTTTTGCTGATCTGGCCAAAATCATTGCAGTTGTAAAATATTTATGATTTTATTGCAGCAGCATGGCTTTAAACAGTATGCCTTTCAGCACATTCAGTTTCATAAACAGCTAAATCATGCCTGTTCAGCATTGTTCTGTTGACAGAAAAATAGGGCAAAATGACAATTTACAGTAAATGATATGTCTACAGGGTTTCGTTGTACAGAGGTGTTTTATTTAAATAACTTAACTAGAGTCAGGTTTTAGAAAGCTGCTCTTAAAGTAAACAACATATCACGGATAACACCTTTCAACCTCTGCGCAAGACTATAGAGAAGCCGAGCAGCGTCTTTAGTTAAAGACTTCTACACCTTGTTTGACTCTACAATACAACAATACAATGGCAATAAGTTATGCAAAGTATAATGTGCAATTACTATTTGATTCCCTGTGCAATAACCTGTTTCTCTATATCTGACACCCAGTGCAATAACTATATTTATAAATATAAATATCCATCTATAAAAATACCCATGTAAACACCCTGTGCAATAACCCTGTATAATAATGATCCTACTATTAAAAAAAAAGCTGTCAGATGTGGGTGCACTGTATGTATATATCCCATGCACCTTTTTCTTCCTCTGGCACCTTCCTCTTCGTCTATCTGAGCTGATGTAACGGTAAAATTTCTCCACTGTGAAATTAATAAAGTCAACCTATCAATCAATCAATCAGTGACTTGAAATTTATGTTTTATTTCCTGAAACCTTATATCGTCATTTTAGGACACGATTTTTTTGCAAAGGCTTTCCTGTTGAGCTGTTTCTTGTTAAGTTTGTATAGCTTGTAGTGATACTTTCATTTCTGTATTTATGAAAATCCTCCAACTGAATATAAAACAACATTAAGTTTGTTTTAGGCTGCTGCAGACATGTGATTTTGTTAAGCGTTTATAGGCCGAAAAATATTGTTCTTAATTTTTTTTTTGGTTTATGTTTTAGGTTTTGTAAACTTTCTAAAACAAAAGAAGTTCCAGGTTGTCTAATGTAATTCAGCTAAAATGAACAGAAGTGCAGAATGTCCTCGCAGCCCCACTACTTCTGCTTTTAGCTGCAACCACAATGAGAAGTTGTGTGGCAACCTAAGCGAACAGTACCCAAAAAACTGCACAACTAATGATGGCAGAATAACAAGTAACGTTAAACTAGCAAAGTTATAAAAGAATTTGCCACCTTGCATAAAATATCTGTTTAAAAGATCTAAAATAAATTAGTGATGCATAGGTTTGATTTTATGCTTACTGACTACTTTTTAAATATAATCACACTTTGATGCCTTATCTTGGCCACTTGCTTGCAAAAGGCTAATTGCTCAAAGCAACTGCGGTGCATAACACAAGCAGACGGTAGTAAACAATTAAGAAATGCTGCAAGAGAAAAAAAATAAATGATTGAGAAACAATATAAACATATAAAAGCTCAGTCTGTTCTCTTTAAGCTTTCTGTGCAAAACATGGGTGACAGAGTTCATCAAAATAGGAAAAGCATAGAATTGATTTTTATGCAGTGAATTATGGCTTAAAAATTTTATCTCCATTTTTTCTAAAAATGTGAGAAAATGAATTTTTAGTTTTTTAACCTTAAGTTTCATAAGAAAAAAATTACAAAATGACGTGCATTACTTTTGAAAAAATAGCCTTTGCTTCAATCAACTTTAATTTAAAACCGTATTGTTTAAGTGTTTATGTGGTGAAGCCTTTTGTAAAAAAAAAAAAAATCCCATTTGAAGATAATGGTATTACAAACTAAAATTGTTAAATAATATAGAAATACAGATTTTCCACATAAAATAATCACCGTTCCCCACATTTATATATTTATTTATTCTTTTAGCTGGTTTTTATGAACATGAAGCTTGAGAGATTAAAAGAGAACAAGGTTACTTTGGGGATATCAACCAACAGCATAAAATCCTTTTTTTTCCTCTCAACATAAAATTACACTATGGCTGTAACATTTGATACAAGCATACCAGGAATGCGGTAACTGTGTAACATAGAGGTACAGTGGATAACAGTAGCTGATAATAAAACTCTTCTGTCAGATTAAACTTGTAAATGTTATTGCCCCTCTATCTTTATGCCAGGAAACATGATAGTTTACCACCTAATGACAAGAACTCAACTCTCTTCAATCACAGCTATTTACTTGATGACAGTTATTGCTTTCAGTAAAAACACTCTACAGCTATAATGAGGATATATGATAGCATTAATAAGTTATTAACACAAATACCATTTTCACAAGTCCAAATATAACAATATATAACGACAACGTTCATCTAAAAAAAATATTTTATACGCTTCAGCTCTAGTTATAGAGCTATGTGATCTTATTTAACTAAGTAGCCCTAAAGGGTTTCTCTCTCAGCTAAAGGCATGTTTTAGAGGATCTATAGTCCGGTTAATGATTAATCGATGACTATATTAGTTGCGGATTATTTCAATAATTGATTAATCCGATTAATTGTTTCAGCTCAAATAAACTTTCAACTTAAGCTAACATTTGGACAAAAATTCCTCTGAAAGTAACCTGGTCAAAACATGTATAAGTTTCATAAGTGAAGTAGCAAAGCATCAGTGGGGTAATCTAATGAGCATCAGCAAATATAAGAACACAGGAATAACTTGTTAAGATGCTAACTAAAATTAGAGATGCTCAAAACCTCTTTAAAATTATATTTTAAGTCTTCATCATTGCAGCTAATCCACCCATCCAGTACATGATCTGGTCCATATTCACAGTATCTGAGCCAGAACATCAAGGCTGAGGAAAAACCTCTTTTAATGAAAGCAACCCCTGGCACTGCAGTTCCTTCTCCTCTCACATACATTAAACCTTCTGGTTCTGCCCCTTTATCTTTATACATAATAAGCGGTGCAACCACTGATCGGCCTCGATTTCCTTAATTTTGAGAAATCTTGAAAGGCTGATTCTTTGGTTGTGGAACAGATCTTTTCCATCAAACCTATCTACCTCTGCAAAGGTCTGAAATTCACTACTTCGATGTATATTCGAGAGCAGTAATTTCATAAGTTTTTATCGTTTCATGGGACTGATTGTTTTTCAGAAAGAGATTAAAATATTGAAGGTGTCTTCTGATCTTATAACAACTGACAGTGTCAGTTATATATATATATATATATATATATATATATA